TTTTTTTTAATAAAATTCTTACTTATAAAAAAAAAAAGAATCTAACAAGTTGAAGTTTACCTTAATGCTAGTGTTCCATGTGGCATTCTACGAAATATAATATGGTGGTAAGTATGAAAATTTTACTGAAGCTACGTTAATTATTTAGATATGTAACAAGAACAGTTCATTAGATAATATTATTAATCATGATAGAACAAATATTTTATGTCAGTTGTGTTCTGCTCATGGGTACTCACCAAACTGCTCAGTGAGGATGGATATATGAAGTATAGTTGTTTTATCATCTCTTCGATGAAAGGCATATAAGGATTCTTCTCTGCCATCACCTTCAAAGTTTTTGCTGAGTTCACCATCTAAAAACTCGAACATCAGTTTTGCCATACCGGGCTGCACAGAAAACAGCTGTTTCTCCAAACTCATTGCGCATAGCTAGCAACATTTTCTTCGCAGCCGGGACAATTTTGTTGGAAGTGGCTACCTCGTGGAGCATAGTGTCCAACATCATTTTGACGAGTCATTTTGTCAAGATGGCTTTCAGGCACCAATTCGAGTAACCTGAGTACCAAGTCCTTTTGTTTGGAGTAAGTAGCCATGTGAAGGACTGTGTCATTGTGTATGGTTAATATGTGCAAAGGTCCCTCTGGAATTTGTTGACAAAGTTGGATCACCTTGTCCCCGTCTCCTTGCATCAGAGCACTGTACAGCTCCTTATTACGGGCATGTTTTGTGTCTATGACAACCATGTGTGTGTGTGTGAGAGAGAGGGAGAGAGAGGGCTTCAAAAGGAGAAAGGCCTATATGGAGTGAGTGTGTGTGTGCGCGCGCGCACGCGCACACATTTAAATAGGCAGACACCACACAGGAGAAATGTCACTTAGGTCAGTGACCTCCAAATCACTAGGGCCTTGCTACTTTTTATGGCACATCATTATCATCATCATCATCGTATCAACGGGGTCGGCCACATAGATTCTCTTTGCTACTTTTCAAGACATCAAGCCCTTTAGTTACCAAATGGAACTGGGCCATATCAGCAAGAGAAAGTTTGCATGTCTGTTTTTCTTATCAAGGTACTTATTCTTTGTTCAACAGTTGAGAAAGTAGCTTCTGCTTGGCTTGTGCACTGCACTTTAACAGGGCATTAGTCAGGCATTTCTTATCTTATAAAGGCATGAATTGACCGTTCGAAAAAAGAAAGGCTTGAATTGTGTTAGCTTACAGTAAATAAGTGGTATGTACTTTGCTTCATCAAATAACAAAGTGGAAAAGAAGCTTGATTTATCTAAAGATGAAGAGTAGTGATGCCAAGAAAATAAAAGTAGAGGCCAAGAATTTCATTTTCTATGAAGAGCTATTCACAAAAACAAGTTTATCAATTGGGACTGAAACCTAAACTAGCAAAGCTACATGCTCGTTTCTCTTTCCATAGAATATATAGTTAAACTTTAATTACATCATTCATTAATGGATGCCGATATATGCCTATTAAATTATGAGGAAGGTAACTTTTAAACAGTATTTCATTTGCTCAAAGGAGAACATAAATTTGATGTGCATCATGAATAAAAACAATAAAACCAAGAGAATTATAGTGTAAAATGAAAGCTCCCAACATAATCCATGACTTCGATGCATAATATTTGTTAACAAGTGCAAACAAGGTCAAAAAGAATATGCCATGATAAAGTAACCAGGTGGAGAGCCGAGAGATGGTTGTATATATCAGCAAAAGCTATCTTCAGAGATCACAATAATCAAAATAAAGAGTCATCAGCCACAATAAAAAATACTGTTTTCCGCTAAAACAAAGGAAAGGGCTTGCACGGGCATTTCTGCTGGTATGGTCTTTGGAGGTACCCCTTAGGTCTCAAGTTCCAGTCTCACCAATGTGAATCCTGGGTTTAAATAACGCATGTGATTTGCGGGCGATTGCGAGTATCTAGAATTTGCAAATCATCCGGGACTCCCATATAATTGATTTTTGCTTCTTGAATTATTTTGATATGTGTCCGTTCTTTATTTTCAGTACGTTTTGTAGAATGTAGAATGATAAAAATAAATAAAAAGTGTACCTAGTTCTGACTCATGTGAATCACAAGTTCTATTTTATCAACTGCTCATCATCTATAGCTTCTCAGTTAAGCATGCACGTGCAATCACACTGACCATGTATAAAAGCTAATATTCTGAAGTAGACATATACAAGTTCAAATATATGTATGTACATACAATTCTAATACCATTCAGAATTCTTGGCGAAGTCGTTAGATTCTGAAATACAAATTAGTTACTTGAGTTCATGCACCAAACGGTATATTTTTTTTTAACCTGCACCAAACAGTATTACATAAAACTTTTTTATCTCCCCGTTTTCTTCTCTGCTGGTATTCAGAGATTGTCTTCTATGAATACTTCAAAATTTTTGTTTTGCTGTGAACCTAGTGTCAAGTAGTCCCCCATATTGTTGAATGAAAAACTTACAAGTTGATCTGGTTCGTTATGCAATCCAATTTGAAATTCGTTCAACTGTATTTAGATTATAAATAAAAAATTTAGGGATAATTTCACTGACACCCCCAGTAGTTTGACCAAATATCAGTCTAAAACATCTTTCGAAAATAACTATCACTCATATTACAAACGTTTGCTCCGTTTTTCACTCACACCCCAAAAGTTAGTTTACAGATGTGTCAGACCACTTTTTACATGTAAAAAGACATTTTTACCCTTTGACTTTAGTTTGACCCTAACTTTGGTATACCCTCATTTTTTTAATTTATTTTTTTACAAAATATCAGTATTAAAAGACAATATGGCCCCTCAAAAATTTGTAAATTTACAAATTATATTATATATACAGGCAGACATATATATACTCCTATATACACACACAGACATATATATATACATATATATATATACACACACACACACACATAAGCACAACACCACCAAATACAGCAGCGGAGTCGTCGTCGAATCCGACAACGGCCGCTCATTCGCCGTCAAAGTCGACTCTCCCACCTTCCAAACCGATGTCTCCCTTGCCGCGACCTCATCTGCAAAGTCGCTCGGATCCTCCAATCCTCATCATCGGACCTTTTCCTCGACCTCTCCGACTACCTCCAAGACCCGGATCTGTCTCGCCGGATCTCCAAGACCCAGTCATCTCCCTCTTTGCAGAGCTCATCTCCGCTGGATCTGCCGCCACCGGATCTGTCTTGCCAGCGCCATCAACATTCTCACAGCCGTCTTCGCTCTCCATCTCCAAGCTCGCCGTTGCCGCTACTCCACCGCCGAGCCGAGCTCTTCACTGCCGAATTGGAGTTGTCATCTCTCCCGCTAATCCACTCACTACCAAGTCCCGCGAATCCTCCTCCAGTCGACCCTCGCCGGTTCTCTCAAACCCAGATAATCAGTATATATATAGTTCTCACTACCGATTCAGTCCACCGAGCTCGGCTGTGGCCGGCGAGCAAGGGTCTTCAGACGGCGGCCGGCGAACAAAAGAAAGCTTAGCTCGCTCTCTCTCTCCCGGCGACAAGCACTCGTCCTCGCCATCGCCGTCCTAAACCATGTTGCCGCTTCTGTCGCCTGAAGTTTCCCACAGTCGTCGGCGGCACCACCACCACCATCACCCCATCATCACCGACCACCAACCACCAATCTCTCTATACACTTTCTCTCTCTTCTGCGACACACCACCCACCACCAAAAAAGCCTTAACTTTTGGAACCACCACCCACCACCACCACCACCACCACCACCACGACGGCCAACAGTTCCATCTACCCAATTGTCGGGATATAATTGTCTTTTAACTAATCTGATATTTTGAAATAAATGTTATTAAAAAAATAGGGGCAAAGTTGTCTTTTCACATGTTTTTAACGGAGGCTGCAACGGAAAATGGACCTAAGTGATAGTTATTTTCGAAACATGTTTTAGACTGATATTTGGCCAAACTACTGGGGGTGTCAGTGAAATTATCCCAAAAATTAATTTTAAAATAGGGCATAAATAAATCTGGTTCTATCTCGAATTTCAGGTTGGAACTGAATGTAAATATAGATAAAAGAAATCGATGATCTATAAATATGTTCACTAATCCAACTTGGATTCAGACTCACAAATACACCTTCACGCTACAACATGATTTAATCTCGAATTTACATGGAATTGCTCCATTTTAGGCTCTAATAGAAAACAATTCTTTGCAGCACATAAGCTTCTAAAACCAATCTACTCTCCCAAGGTACAACAAACAAAGTTTTTTTTTTTTTTTTTTCAATTTATTTATTTACTTTGGCAAGAAACTCGCACACTCACTTTGCTCCTATAAAGACTTGAACCATCGACCATCCATTTTGAAAGGTAAGAAAGTACCGCTAGGATACATGCTACAACCCTTGGTACAACAAACAATTTTCTTCGATTCATTATCAGCAAACAATGTGTTACTACATACAGGTAGTGATATGTATATATATACATTTTGAAAGGTAAGGAAGTACCGCTAGGATACATGCTACAACCCTTGGTACAACAAACAATTTTCTTCGCTTCATTACCAGCAAACAATGTGTTACTACATACAGGTAGTGATATATATATATATATTTAATCCTACTAAGTAATATACTGCTACCAAAAAATGTTGGTCTCATCCAGTCCTGCATTTCAGACTTGACAAACTCAATAACACGGAATAGAACAATACCCAAGTAAAGAAAAACATGGCTGATTGACAAATTAATAATGGACATTATCATACATTTTTCAGTTAACCTATTCAAGTTGTTTTACCAGTGAAACTTGTGAGAAACTTAGTTTAGGGTCGGTAAATTTCGATGTCAAAACTTAGAATGATCAAGTTAAATTTTATTCTTTGATTTTGTGTCTTGATCATTGGAGCAGAACAAAATGTGCATCAATACTATTGATTTGGATTAGAACATCAATCAGAACAGGTATGAGTTTGAGAACGCTATGCACACCTAGTAGGGTTGGTAGTTTATCCTTATTAATGGCAAATTGTTGTTTAGCAGTCTCCCCCTTAGAGTTGAAGTGCTTCGTGAAATGGGTTTTGGAGAGTTTTTGCACATGCTGCACACAGTAGAAGCACACAAAGAACTTTGTTTTAGTTTTAGCACAGGTTTAATTTCTGAATTCTTATTTTTAAGTCCCTTCACAATTAAAAATGAAGCACAGTGCTTCAAGCTGCTGGATAATAGTCCCTAGCATTAAGGGATACAGAAATGGAACAACAGTCTTTGATCCACTGGCTTGAAGCCCATAATGGCCATGCTTATATGCTATGAAATAGTATGTGTTTGTGTGGATGCTTATATGGAATGTAAGGATCGTACCTCAAACAAGAGCAAATCCTCTTGCAATAGTAGAGCAGGGCTTCGCATGTCCTCAGCTGCACGATGTGTTCTTTTTCTCCCAACCATAAGCAGTATGGAGTTCCCATCATTGTCAATCTTCCTCATGAACCTCATCATTGGGATTTCCATTTTCTCTACAAGGTCGAAAATTTGCATTTGGCAATGCTTTACTGCAACATATAAGATATTACACCCATCATCATCAATATGCTCAACTGCTTGAGGATATATCTTGAGTATCTCTTCAACAATTTCTATAATGCCTGCCTTAGTCGCCAAAAATAATGGAGTTTCAGCAGTGTCTACAGTGCTCGCACGACTAGTCTGGGTCATTTGTACTTCCTCTACCCCATATTTGTGGGTCTTAGTTTTACTCCGACCAATTGCAGATTCAGTGGCCTCCCATGAGGTATCTTTTTCTATCAAGAACTTGGCAAGTCTCAAAAGCAGACTCATACCTCAGTTTTTGCTTCCTAATTGTTTCCCATAAGGGCAGTCAAAGTTGTATACATGTATAAAGATTGAAACGGTAAAACTACAAGAAATACATGTTTGTCTATGCTGAACCATAAAATCATCATGAGAGAAGGAATCCTATCAAAAAGACTCTTCCAAGAAACCAAAATAATTATCATATTAGGATGATAATGCATGAGAAAAAGCATGAAATTACAATTAGGCGAGGATGAAAGGGTTCCAAATCAAATAGAAGAGAAACAATGCTGTAAACTTTACCATACAGCCCTTTACCTTCTTCTTTCCCATTAGTATCTTCGGTTACAACACCTGCAAACACCCAATTTTTTTTCCTGATATTTAGGATTTACCTTATCAGAGAGAAAAAATGAAAGAAAAGAAAAGAGAACAACAAATCAGAACAAACATAAACATGGAATTATAGATCAGTTTGTAAAGTGTAGTGGAATAACTAAAGGAATCTTTTATTGGCAATGTTGAAATGGAAGTATAAAAAGATATTAGGGCTCCATTGGTTATCAAGAAGATGAAGTGAAAGACAAAAAAGAAAGGTCCCAAGTTTAGATTGCTTTCATCACTTTCTCCGCAAGCAAGCAAATGAAGATCATACGAAAAGAAGGAAAAGTCCATGGAGCTTAAGTTAAAAGGAAAAAACCATACAAGAGTAGATGAGTCGCTTGAGGGAACTGACTTTACTCCCGCTTCTGAATGCTGATGGATTGCATGAAAGAAGTTGCAGAGAAGTCATTCCATCTCCATCTCGTTCACCAACTAAATAGTGGTACTTTATCGCAAAAGGGCCAAATCTGTTATATATATTTTTTAATAAAAAATTGAATAAAAGTTGACAAAAAAAAAATTCAAGAATAAGAATCTAACAAGTTGCAGTAAACTTTAATGCTAGTGTTCCATGTGGCATTCCACAATATATAATATGGTGGTAAGTATGACAATTTTATTAAGCTATGCTAACTATTTAGATATATAACAGGAACAGCTCAGTGGATAATACTATTAATCATGATAGAACAAATATTTTATGTCAGCTGTGTTCTGCTCATGGTTACTCACCAAAATGCTCAGTAAGGATGGATATGTGAAGTATAGTTGTTTTATCGTCTCTTCGATGAAAGGCATATAGGGCTTGTTCTCTGCCATCACCTTCAAAGTTTTTGCTGGGTTCGCCATCTAAACACTTGAACATCTCAGTTTTGCCGTACCGGGCTGCACGGAACAGAGCTGTATCTCCAAACTTGTTGCGCACAGCTAGCAACTTTGGTGATTTGCGAAACATTTCCATTGCAGCCGGGACAATTCTGTTGGAAGTAGCTGCCTCGTGGAGTATAGTGTGTCCAGCATCATTTTGACGGGTCATTTTGTCAAGATGACTTTCAGGCACCAATTTGAGTAAACCGAGTACTAAGTTCTCTTGTTTGGAGTAAGTAGCCATGTGAAGGACAGTGTCATTGTGTATGGTTAATATGTGCAATGGCCCCTCTGGAATCTGTTGACAAAGTTGTATCACCTTGTGCGAGTCTCGTTGCATCAGAGCATTGTACAGCTACTTATTACAGGTATGTTTTGTGTCTTTGACAGCCATGTGTGTGTGTGTGTGTGAGAGAGAGAGAGAGAGAGGAATTCAGAAGGAGTGAGCCCTGTATGGAGTGAGTGCGTGCGCGCACATGCATTTAAATAGGCAGACACCATGTAGGAGAAATGTCACTCAGGTTAGTGACCTCCAAATCACTAGGGCCTTACTACTTTTTATGACCCATCGTTATCGTAATCATAATCCTTGCCTTTATTCCCTAAAAATGGGTCCAGCCACATAAATTCTCTTGGCTACTTTTCAAGACATCAAGCACTTTAGTTTCCAAATGGAACTGGGCCATATCAACAAGATAAATTTTGCTTGTATCTGTTTTTCTTATCATGGTACTAATTCTTTGTTCAACAGTTGAGGAAGTAGCTTCTGTTTTGCTTGTGCACTGCACTTTAATAGTGCATTAGTAGGGCATTTCTTATCTTATAAAGTCATGAATTGACCATTCGAAAAAAGAAAGGCCTGAATTGTGCTTTGCTTACAGTAAATAAAGTGGTATCTACTTGCTTACTCAAATAACAAAGTGGAAAAGAAGCTTGATTTATTAAAGATAAAGAGTAGTGATGACAAGAAAATAATTGTAGAGGCCAAGAATTTCATTTTCCGATGAAGATTCACAAAAACTAGTTTATCAATTGGGACTGAAACAAAAACCAACAAAGCTACATGCTCGTTTTCCTTTCCATAGAACATATAGTTACGCTTCAATTACATCATTCATTAATGGATGCCGATATATACCTATTAAATTACGAGGAAGGTAACTTTTAAATAGGATTTCATTAGCTCAAAGGAGAACGTAAATTTGATGTGCATCATGAATAAAAACAACAGAACCAAGAGAATTATAGTGTAAAATGAAAGCTCCCAAACATATTCCATGCCTTCGATGCATAATATTTGTTAACAAGTGCACACAAGGTCAAAAAGACAATGCCATGATAAAGTTAATGAAATGCATTATTGATTTGGTTAGGTACCTCAACGAACAAGAGCAGAGATTAGATATAGTAACCAGGTGAAGAGCTGAGAGATGGCTGTCTATATCAGTAAAAGTTATTTTCAAATTTTCAGAGATCACTATAATCAAAATAAAGAGTATGTAGTTTTCTGCTGAAACAAAGGGCCTGCACAGGCATTTCTGCTGGTAAGGTCTTTGGAGATACTCCCCTTAGGTCTCTAGATCCAGTCTCACCATATGTGAATCCTGGGTTTAAATAACGCATGTGATTTGCAGATGATTGTGAGTATCCAGAATTTGCAAACCATCCGAGACTCCCATATAACTAATTATTGCTTCTTGAATTATTTTTATATGTGTTCGTTCTTTATTTTCAGTAAGTTTTGTAGAATGTAGAATGAATGATAAAAATAAAAATAAAATAAATAAATAAAAGTACCTAGTTCTGATTCATGTGAATCACAAGATCTATCTCATCAACTGCTCATCATCTATAGCTTCTCAGTTAAGCATGCATGTGCAGTCACACTGACCACGTATAAAAGCTAATATTCTGAAGTAGACATATACTAGTTCAAATATATGTATGTACATACAATTCTAAAACCATTCAGAATGCTTGGCCAAGTCTTTAGATTCTGAAATACAAATTATTTACTTGAGTTCATACTCCAAATGGTATTACATAAGAACTTTTTTTATCTCCCTGTTCTCTTCTCTGCAGGTATTCAGAGATTTCTCTTCTAAGAATACTTAAAAATTTTGTTTTGCCATGAACCAAGTGGCAAGTAGTCCCCGATACTGTCGAATGAAAAAGTTACAAGTTGATCTGGTTCGTTATGCAATCCAATTCGAAATTCGTTCAATTGTATTTAGATTATAAATAAAAATTTAATTTTAAAATGGGGCAGAAATAAATCTGGTTCTATCTTGAATTTCAGGGCAGAAATAAATCTGGTTCGATGATAGGTGATCAAAACATATCCCCTTTCACTATATTAAGGTTTGTTTGGATTATCCATAAATATGTTCATAAAACCCAACTTGGATTCAGACTCACAAATAGAATTTAACACTACAACATGATTTAATCTCAAATTTACATGGAATTGCTCCATTTTAGGCTCTAATAGAAAAGAATAATTAGCGGTACATAAGCTTCTAAAACCAATCTATTCTCTCTAGGTACAACAAACAAAGTTTTATTAATTAATTTATTTACCTTGACAAGAAACTCGCACACTTTCTTTGTTCTTATGAAGACTTGAATCCTCGACCATATATTTTGAAAGGTAAGGAAGTACCACTAAGCTACATGCTACAACCCTTGGTACAGCAAATAATTTTCTTCAGTTCATTACCAACAAACAATGTGCTATTACATACAAGTAATAATGTATATTTTTAATCCTACCAAGTAAAATACTGCTACCCACAAAATGTTGGTCTCATCTAGTCATGCATTTCAGACTTGACTAACTCAATAACATGGAACAGAACAATACCCAATAACATGGAATAGAACAATACCCAATAACATGGAATAGAACAATACCCAATTAAAGAAAAACATAGCTGATTGACAAATTAATAATGAACATTATCATACACTTTTCAGTTACCCTATTCAAGATGTTTTTACTAGTGAAACTTGTGAGAAACTTAGTTTAGGGTCGGTAAATATTGATGTCAAAACTTAGAAGGATCAAGCTATAATTTTATTCTTTGATTTTGCGTCTTGATCATTATAGCAGAACAAAATGTGCATCAATACTACTAGTCTGGATGAGAACATCAATTAGAAAATGTATGAGTTTGAGGATGCTATGCACACCTAGTAGGGTTGGTGGTTGATTTGGATGAGAACATCAATTAGAACAGGTATGAGTCTGAGGATACTATACAGACATAGTAGGGTTCGAGGTAGATCTGGATGAGAACATCAATTAGAATAGGTTTGAGTGTGAGAACACTATGCACATCTAGTTGGATTGGAATAGGACTCCGAAAATTGTGTTTTGGAGTTACAATTGTTTTTTTAAGAGAAGTCCAACCAAATTCCAAACTGGTTCCCGAAACAGTTGGGGTGATCTCGGTATTTCACCCTCCTGCAAAGTCCAACCGGTTGCACTGGGACGTCCAATAGAATTCTTACAATGATTTTCCTACTTATTTTTGGACTATTTTGTTTATAAAAACTCTTCTATTCTCCTCAACACACAAGAGAGACTTGGGAGTTTTTGACAGAGAAATCACCCCTGATTTTCCTGATTATTTCTCTTTATTCAAAAGCACACTCTTTTTCACATGAGTAATATTAAGGTGATATTCTCTATCTGGTGGGCAGTATAGAGCTTATTTATGGATCATCTTTTCCTAGTCAGAACATCTTTGTGTTTACAGTGTTCATTGCGTGACTCATTGGGGTCATTTATACTTCCTCTTCTTCTTGGCCATATTTGTGGGTATTAAGCTTACTGCTTACCCCAGCCAGACGCAGATTCAGTGGCCTTCCATGAGGTACCATTTTTTTATCAAGAACTTGGCAAGTCTCAAAGCAGATTCATACTTCTGTTCCTTCATCCTAATTGCATCATATAAGGGTATCCGGTAATATGATTCTGTTTTACAAAACGCTAAAATCAATAAAAGTTGCATTCATATATGGAGAATGAATTCATAGAACTATAAGAGAAATATGTTTGACTATGTTGAACCATCATATACACAAGTATTTCTCTATCCAGAGCCTAGAAGAAGTACTCTCTTGAAATCAAAACTAAAATAATTATTGACAATAATGCATGACAAAAAGCATGAAATGACAAATATGAAAGAATGAAAGGGCTTCCAAAATCAAATATAAGAGAAACAATGGTGTCAACTTCACCATACATCTCTTTACATGCTTCTGATCAGCTAAACCTGAAAAGACAATACTTTTGTAACTTATAAAATAAAATAAAATAAAAAAGGAAAAGAAATCGACAAATCAGAACAAAAACAAATGAAATATATGACATTTTTTAGATTAAAACAACATGGCCAAGGGTATTAAATATCCATAACAACCCTTTACCTTATTCTATCACAGTGGTATCAGCAACACCAGATTTTTTTATTTTATTTTAAAAAAACAAATTTATTTTGGTAATATTTAGCACATAACTTATCAACAAAAATAAATAAATAAAATTGACAAGTCCTAATAAAAATCAAATATATGGACTTTTTAGTTCCCAACAACGTGGCCTGAAAACAAATAAAGAGAAACAAGGGTGTTGACTTTGCTATAAATCCCTTTACCTTTCTTGTGTCATGATAATCAGCAACCGCGGTAAGAACCCAAATTTCTTTTTTTGGTGATATTTAGGATGTAACTTATCAGCGGAGAAATAAAAAGGAATAGAAATTGACAAATCAGAACAAAGAGTATTCAAATATATGGCATTTGTAGATTGCAACAACATGGCATGCACCATACATGATCTCTGTAAAGTGTGATTGAATAATAAGAAAAGGTCATCTATTGTCATAGTTGAAATGTAAGTATAAAAATGATATTATTGCTCAAGATGATGAAAGAACAAAGAAGAAAAGTCAAGGTTTAGATTGCTTTCATCACAGTCTTAGCAATGGAATGAACCTCATATGAAAAGAAATAAATTATATATGGCAAAGTCAGTTAAGAAGGAAGGATCTTACAAGAGCAGATGAGTCCCTTGATGGAACTTAGAAATGCTGATGGATTGCAAGCAAGAAGCTGAAGATCAGTCATCTCATCTCCATCTTGTGCACCAGCTATGTATTCATATTTTTCACAATCAAAAGGGCAAAATCTGTTTTATATTTCGTAGCAAAAAGTTGTGTGAAAGCACAGAAAAGGAAAAAAATAAAAAATAAATAAAAATAAATAAAAAAAAAAGAGAGAGAGGATTAGCAACTCTCAATATCTTATTCCAAGTATTTTTTGTGTCATCCCAGTGATCCCACAATATATAATACAGGTATGTATGAAAAATTATCTGGCTAGGCTAACTTATCATATATAGATATATATAACAAGAAAAATCATAAGCTTCTTGGATAGATTATAAATAGTGAATTAAATAGTTACATGATCAAATAGCATATATCAGATTGTTCTTAGGGACGGCAACGGGGGCAGGTATGGAGTGGGTTTGCCTAAACCCGTGACCGCCCCGTCTGATTATTGGCAAATCCATCCCCGCCCCGTGCCTTGGGACGAGAAAATTTTGTTGGAAGTGGTTGGCTCGTGAACCATTGTGTTTCCAATGTTGTTTTGAAGGGTCATTTTGCAATAATGACTTTCAGGCAACAAGTGAAGTAAACTTAGTACCAAGTTAGCTAGCTTGGAGTAAGTGGCCATGTGTATTTTTTTTGTTGACAAAGTTGGATCACCTTGCTGCTTTCTACTCCCATTAGAGCATCATGCAGCTCCTTATTGTAGTTATTTTCTGCATCATCGGTTATACGAGCCATTAGAGAGATAGAGAGAGCTTCAAAAGGGAGGAAGTCTATATCAAGTGAGTGTGGGCGCGCATGCGTGCGTATAAATAGGCAGACACCACACACAAAGGTTAAGGCCTAACAATTCTTAAGACACCAAGCACTTTGGTTCAAAATGCATAGGTTTTTAGTTTCGAAGTGGAATTGGGCCATATCAGCAAGTGCAATTTTGGTTGAATCTGTTTTTTCTTATCAAGGTACTTATTTTTTGTTCAACAACAGTGAAAGTAGCGTCTGATTTGCTTCTGCAATGTACTTTAATATTAATTTGTTGGGCGTTTTTTTATCTTATGCTTTGTTAACAGTAAATAAAATGGTATCTACTTTGCTTAATCAAATAACAAAGTGGAAAAGAAACTTTATGTAACAAAAATAAAGTGGCATCTACTTTTCTTAATTAAATAACAATGGGGAAAAGAAACTTGATCTATAAAAAATAAAGAGTTCCGATGCCAAGAAAGTAATCATGAGACCAAGAATTTCACTTTCAGACTCGGTTCACTCTACTCCATTTTCACAAAAACTAGTTTCCCAATCGGAACTGTCAAACTGAACCGTCAACCACCTAAGTTAAATGCTTGGTTATCTTTCCACATTATCATTAATGGAAGTTGATATATACCTTTTAAATTATTATGAAGAAGTAAACTTTTAATTAGCGTATTTCATTTGCTCGAAGGAGAATATAAAAATGATAATATCGTGAACATGAAATAGAACCAAGAGAGATATTTGACAATATGAATAGCTCCAAAACATGTGTCATGAGTTTGATGCATAATATTTGTTAATGAGTGCAAGCAAAGTCAGAATAATATGCCATGATAGAGTGTATTTGCATATTGTTCTGGCACAATTAGATTACAAAAAGTTACCTGGTGGAGAGCTGAGAGTCAGCTGTATATATCAGTAAAAGATATTTTTAGAGAACACCATAATCACAATAAAGAGTCTTCAATGAATTTTTAAAAACTTAATATTGATTGATCATTTCCCTTTATTATATCAATGAATTTTTCATATTAAGCAAATTTTTATACAAATTGAAGAGAAATACTATGTGTATTTAAGTAACACAATTATGCAAAGAGTAATGATAGTTACACTGTGTGGCAGTCCAGCTGGAGAGAACATGATTTTTTACTAATCTACTTGTTCACGTTTATTTTCACTATCTCTAATTTTAGAAACCTCTCTGTCGTCCCCAATTTCTCAAACGAAGTTTCTCTTCCGATTCGATGCGATCTGCAACAAGTCTAAATGTTTTGGCTATTTACAACAAGCATTTGACGATTTGCAACTTTTGACGATTTGTAGAGTACCTTTGGTAAATCAAATATATATATATATATATATATATCAATCTCCCTGTATATGTATATGTTGATGCAAATTTTAGATGGAATTTTTTAATCACTAGTCGTCTGAATCAATCTCTATTCAATGGATTGACATTGGTGTTAAACTCTTAAAATATATATATATATATATATATATATATATATATATATATATTACAGCAACATATACATATAAGGGAGATTGATATATATATATATATATATATATATAGATATATATATATGATTTACCAGAGGTGCTCAATAGTTTCAAGTCGTAAAAAAGCCAAAACATTTGGAATTGTTGCAGATCGGGTTGAATAGGAGGGAAAAAAAAAAAAAAAAAGCTACAAATTGGGAACGGCAGAGAGGTTTCTAAAATTAGGGATAGTGAACAGTAAACGTGAATAAGCATATTAGTACAAAAATCACATTTTCTGCCAGCTGGACTGTCACATCATTCTGCCTTACAATTCGGTATATGGCTTCAGTTTAACTATCATTACTCTTATACAAAAAGAATAGTCAGATCAAAGGAGGAGCATCAGAATGGGCTTTGCATTCATTTAGTTGGTAGAAACGATCCAAAATCCGTTTGGGATTTCGGAAACCAAAAAAGGAAGCAAAACAAGTTCAAATGTGTGTTCTCCAACGTATTGCTCATTCCAATTAAGAATTTCAAATGAATGATTTTCACAAACCTAAAAAATTATTGCTTGAAATAATTAAAAATTGATGAACGAAACTTGTGTTTGTATTGACATCTTGAACTATTTTCAGCTAAGCTCACAAAATCAATTGATAATTATATTGAATCAATTCAACAAGGGAATTGAGGGTCTTCACCCTTTTCTAAAGGGTATATATAAATGATTTTCACATTTTTTTTCCTTTCTTCTCTACCAACCTCCAAAACTTGGCATAGGGGTTTGGAGACAAAGTCACAAGAGTTCCACATATCAAATGCAATAATAATATGTTTGAGAGTATCGAATCGAACAGGTGGTTTAGATTTGAGATTGGAGTAAATTTAGTTTAAAATTTGTACTACTTTTTCCTATAATTTCAAATCCAAAGCACCAAATGCAACATAAATGAAAAGTATACAATAATATTTTATTTTGAAGATTTAGATCATTCATTGAAGAGAGATTAACTAATAAAAGAGAATGGGTATATCATAGAAAAAAACAAGTTAAAAATGAAAATATGAAAAGTCAGTGATCACAGAGATAAAACCTTTTTCTCCTCCGCTGGAATTAAAAATTTTGTCTTCCATGAACACTTGAAAATGTTGTTTTCCAGAGACGAATTAGGCCCCAAGTTGCTGGCTGAAAAAGCTACTAACTTTTATCTTCTTGCTTTTCACTGGAGTTTGTAAATTGTAGAATGGAAAATTTTTGAAAGTGACTCTCTTCATCTAAAGGTATTGACTTAACTTTTTAGTAGACATAGGAGAGGGGTGTTCATTGCTCCTAACAATCTTGCTCGCTCTAATGGCTGAAACCACCTCTCTGACCCAGTTATTGATCTCCTCCACCACCGATGGCCCGTTTCAACCATGAGTCTCCACTCGCGGAACAAATTCGACAATCCATGACAAACCCCAAATTCCCAAACTCACCTCCACCGTCCGATCACAACAACTGCCACGACCATCATTATTCAAAGTTCACCATGTTTTCAACATGAAACAATCATTCTTGGAGTTCTGATAAAGCTCCGACAATGTCCCCCTCATTCGACAACCATGGCGGTTTAGAGAGAGAAATTGAGATTTTAGAGAGAGAGAGAAGGACTTTGGTGTTTAATTTCAGGTTTTTTTTTTTTTTTTTTAAATCTTTTTTTTTATGTATTTGATAAACATTTTAACGATTCACAAGTGTTGGATGATTTCGATCTGAAATATTGGACTTTATTGTTGTGTTTACGGAATATTTTATTACGATTTAATTATAGTTATTTTCTGTTTAGTTGTTGAGAATAAGAAAAATCAGAACTGAGCAAGGTTCTGAGTCTTCAATTTTGAATCTTGTGTTTTTTTTTTCTTTCTTTGAAAATGTAATTTCTTGTTTGGTTTCTTTATAGTAACTTTTGTTTGATTCTAAATATTATAATTTTCTGGAAAAATAAAAATAAACTTTTTGTTCGGTTGCCAACCGAAAAAGGGGTCCGCAATGGTGTCAGAAAAAGGATATGGTAAGGGAGAGGGCATAAGATGGGTTATAAATTTTAATTGGATTAAGTCATTTAGAGTCGGTTTGATCCATATTATAATTTAAGACACAAGAAGGGTGTCTTGGTATTTAATTTTCTAAATTATTTGACTTTTTTTTTTTTTTTTTTGAAAGATAAAAAAATAAACTAAAAAAATGGGAGTTAGGGCAAGTCAACCAAGTCTCGGGGTTTGTGCTTTTTTTTTCACTAACTTAACATGTGAACAATAAAAGTAAATTCGAAGAGGTGTCAAAGTATTTAATTCTATAATTAAATATGGACATTATTAGTAAATATTGAATTTTCAATTTGAAAATACTCGATCTGGTATTTGACTGGACACAGTAATTACCAAATTTAGTTTAGTAGAGAGTTGGAATGAAAGTATAATTTTGAGCTTTCAATATTACATTCTAATTTATGAGTAGAGGTTGAATATTTTAAGTAATTATTTTTCATTAGATAATTTTGTCATTTTATTTTTTAGGTTAAATGTTCCGACACCCATTCAGGTTTGTCTTTATTGATCAAATTAGTTTAGTAGAGAGTTGGAATGAAAGTATAATTTTGAGCTATCAATATTGCACTCTAATCTATGAGTAGAGGTTGAATATTTTAAGTTTTTATTTTTTAGGTTAAATGCTCCGACACCCATTCAGGCTTGCCTTTATTGATCACATATTAAACTATTTAGGTTTGCTTATATTGATCACATATTAAACTAGCGTTGAAAAAAAATAAATAATAAAAAATAAAAATAAAAAAAACCCTCCCCTCAGGTTTGGTTAACTGTGCCCTGACACCTCCTCCTTGATGGTTAGAAAAGTCAAATAATTAAAAATATATAATGTCAAAACTACCATTCCCCAATTTAAGTCATTTTAATTTGGACACAAATATCAGCTTAAATTAACTTAAATATATTATTTTAATTTAGGCATAAGTCATGAATAAAAAAAATGCACGTAACAAATGTGTACTAATCTGGAATATATCCATGATTGGGCATTTCATGAAAAATTCGGAAAACAATATCTAGTGTTCCTAATCTTGTTTTGTTTCTGATTTTTTCTTTAAATCAATCAAATGAAATTATTATAAAATTGATTAATATTATGAATATATATTTTATTAAATTGATTTTGAATCATGATATACAATTTGCCAACAATACAAGATGACTATAATATGATTACTTAATATACTTTATATAATATTCATAATATGATGTCATCTTTTTTCTCTATTTATTTTTTCTTATTTTTTCATTTTCTTCTATCTTCCTTCCTTTTATTAATTGAATTGATTAGAAACACTAAAACATTAGTCAGCATGAAGGATATAATTAACTTTACCAACATGCCTCAATTAAACATCTAACAATATATTAATATAATTTCACATTAAATTTAATATATGTCTCAATTAAACATCAAACTTAATGGAAAATCAAACCAAAAAAGTCAAGGTCCACGTCATCTATGGCTTAATTGATTCTCATTTATGGGTGATGGTCTCATACATCTCATCTTCACTGATCAAGGGTAATTTTAGCATTGTATATTTTTTATTAGTTGACTTTTAACTTTTTTAATCGTTAATTAATGAAAACGGGTATGAGGGAAAAGTTAACCAAACCTAAGGGAAGGTTTAGAGCATCTCCAGCGTTAAAATTCCCTAAAATATAAATTGCCACCTATGATGTGTCAATTTTTTTCATCTCCAACAGTCTTTTAAGATATATCGCCACATCACCGATGTGTAAAACGATTGTGTATTTTACACAACCTTTTTACACTGTCAGATCAACATATTTCCTTTCTCATCCCTTTTTTTCATTTCATTAAAAAATCAACCATATATTAAGTAAGTTTGTAAAAGTTATGTGGGGTCCTGGTATGACACATGGCTAATTATTATTGGGAGATATATTTTTACACAAATGATATAAAATAACTGTTGGAGCTCAAATTAAATAATTCAAAATTTTTGTGTAAATCCATCATGACACATCAGATTTACACAAAAAAATATACACAACCGTTGGAAATGCTCGTAGGCTTCTTTTATTTAGTTTAATCAGTAAGCGATAAAGACAAACTCGAGGGGTGTCAAAGCATTTAACCTTTATTTTTTATAAAAACAATTGCAAAAAATTCCCTTTGACTATTACTCACTTGCAAAAAATTCTCCTTATGAATATATTTAACAAGAATTGCCCTATTTGTAAACAGTTTTTCATTTTTTATTTATTTTTATTTTTTCTACTCTCTCTTTCTACCAACATCGCTACCACAACCCACCCCTTGTCTATCTACTCTTTGTAAAACTCACTCGAAACAAAAAAAAGAGAACATCAATTATTTCTTTTTATCCATCTGTCAGACCCATCTGTTCCGACAACTCCAATGGGTTGTAGAAAAAGTCTCGGCCGTGGGTTCCAGCTATAGCGATTTGAACTGGATTTTGTCAATGTAGGAGGATGCTGAATTTCAATATCTAAAATTGAAAAGATTTAACATAAAATTTTCAATAACACTAATCATTCATCGAAGTTCTTTGACCCTTTATCAACGGATGAGCCTGCTTGTAGCACCAAGAACTTGATTTTGGTCAACTCTATGCTACCTCTTTGGTGTACCAGAAATAGAAAGAAGTTGGAGAGACAGGTGGTGAACTTACTGCTGGACAGTCACACTTATTCGATTAGAGGGGCTTTTCCGCCATTCGAACTGAGAATGATTTTGATCTTGAACTTTCGGAATAAAGTGACATCTAAGCTATTGCCTATTCTCGAAACATGTGGGAAGGAATCATATACATGTTTTGGCCTTTATTTGCCAATATAATCAAATCTTCTGTGTGGGGGGTGAAAAACCAGGAAGTAGTTGGATCTCACTCATTAGATACAGTATGTTCTAAAGAAGGATGTCCAGACCTAATTAGTACCATGTCCAACAGTGTTTAACGATCAAGATTTTCAAAATCGATTGGGTATTCAAAAAAAATTTCTCCAGGCAAAAATAGTACATATATCAATACATCAAATTTTTAAACACTTCACAGTCTATACAAATGTAGTATTATTGATTTTCCTTATTCTCTATTTCTAGAATTTATTTGATTTTTTGGATTATTTTAATTCTTACCTTGTTTTGTGTGCCACGCAAGCCCCAAGGAACATTTTGGTCATTTTCTTGGGTCAAGGGTTTTAGAAGTGTAATTTTAATCATTTTAAGTCAATTAGAAGTAACAACATTATTTTTAGAATTTTTAGATGTCGGGACGATTTCCGGACTCGGGAACTTCTCCCAATTTTGTCATTTTAAGAAAAGGGCATAATGGACTTTTCTCACATATATGTATACATCTATATTTATTGATTGGAGTTTGATATTAATGGGGCAAATGAGGCAATGTATGGTTTGAAGGAGGGCAATATTGTAACTTTGCACAAAACTAGAGATCAACCAAAAGTTGGCACATGGCAAGCCAATGACCAAATGTTGAGATTTTTATCTTACCATCACTTTTCCTCCTTCACCGTTTTCGGCACTATGCTCTTTCTCTCTAACCATTCTCTTCTCTCTCTATATCCACCTATATTCACTAAATGTCTCCCACCATTTGATTTTAATTTTGGAAAGGTTTGAGTTAACTTTTGAAAAAGAGGAAGGAAGGAAGTTAGAGAGCTTGGCATGAACTTCAAATTGAGGCCAATATTGCTAGGGTTTGGAGAAATTTGAAATTGTGGCTTTTCTTCTATTTGAGGTAGAGCTTGTCTAATTGTCAAATTCCTTAGTTGTGGTAGCTAATTGGATGTTTTTCCCCCTCTCTAACTTGTCAATTTGAAGTTTAAATGCATGATTTAATTTTAGGGTTTTTGGTTTGTACATGGATTCGTGAATTGAGGTGTTTTAAGTGTTTGTGTGTTTATCTTGTATTTAAATTGCAAGTGACATGTTGTTGAGCTTTTATAAAATGATTTATTTATTTCCCCTCATGTGGTTGTTATGATGTTTTTTATTATGTACATGCTAGAGAATATTTGAATGTTGTAATATGCATAAATTGTCAAATTATCTTGTTGAGGCCCTAGAAATATCAATTGTATTATGAAAGCACGATAATAATTACATAATTGAATTTGGACATTTCCATGTGCATGGCATAATGTTGTTCTTGGGTATGAGGGTGGTGTGGAGGTGATGGAGGGGTATGTGAGGGCATGGATGTGGTGGATGGGTGCATTGAGCATTTTATATAATTCATTGCATATGAATATAAATGATCGATGGTTATGGAAATTGGAAGTGTTGCATATGAACCCTTGCATGATCTTCGACTCGTTTTCTTATTCATTGTTTGTAAGGCATGTAATTACTTACCTTGCTTGAGGAGATGCCACTTAGGCATTCTCTACTGAGCCTTATGCTCACTTCTCTACTTATTATCATTTTTCAGGGCATGACCACGACGTGATTGAGGACGAGTTTCCCAAATATAGTTATGAATGGCAGACTACAATCCACCACAGCCTTAGCTTGGAGTAGGAAAGTGTCTCTTTTTGCTATCTTTTGTATTTGGGCCTAATTTTGTAAAGTATTGACTCAAAATGTATTATTTTGCAACATGGGGTGTATTTAAGTTCATTTTGTATATGGCCATTGGGGGAATGTAATTAGGTTTTTATCACATTAAATCATTAGTGTATTTTATGTAACGTGTTGTAAATTGTGTTAACATTGTTGTTGTTGTTAATGTATTAGATGTTGAAATGTATTTAAATATGTACGTGGGTGTGGTGTGTTAGGTGATTGGTTACCAAAGTTGATGTATATGGGACAGTGAAAATTTCGAGTATGGATAACCCAGAACCGGTCGACGTGAAATTCCCATA